ATCTCACCCTCTTTCTCTCCCGAGTCTTAAGCCGAGAAAAATAATGTCTTTTTTATCAGTTGATATCAGTTTCCAGTTCTTTAGTTGTAATAATTACTTCCATAATTCCATGTCGATTATACAATTTTGATACGATTATATACCTGGTTTACCGCCATTTAGAACATTGCTTTCCTCTGGCTCGAGTCCATATATCTAGGAATAGATTAATAAAATGCAGTCACATAGACTAACACATTCACGTAACATATCAAGTACCCATAATAAAAGGTTCGGTTATCGTTCTATATTTCAAGTACCCTCTTGACATATTGCATTTCGTAAAACCGAAACATATATCGATTTTTTTCGGGTAATCAGACTAAAATTTTAAAGTTAAACTGCTAATTAAATAATTACCAGTGAATATCAATTACCTTAACATTAGGATTCTTGGATTTCAAATATCGTCCAACACCAGTAACCGTGCCGCCACTTCCAATCCCCATAATAAAAATGTCGACTTCACCATTAGTATCCTCCCATATCTCTGGACCAGTCGTCTCAAAATGTACCTGCAAGCGGAAAAAAGGTGAAGAAATTAATAACAATAACAATAATAATAATAGAACTATACAAAAGTATCTGCTTTATAGCAAACTAAACCGACACGAACAAAATTCTCTAATGTTTTCTTTAATTATGACCTGAGTATTAGCAGGGTTCGAAAACTGCTGAAGCATAAAGGCGTTCGGTGTGGATTCCAAAAGTTGATAGGCCTTTTTAACAGTGCCTTCCATTCCTTTAGTGGGGTCAGTGACAATTAAATCGGCTCCGAAAGCTCTCATTGTGACCCGTCTTTCTAGGCTCGTGTAAGATGGCATAGTTAGAACCATCTTGTAACCTTTCAAAGCCGCCATAAATGCCATGCTGATTCCCATGTTGCCTGATGTGGGCTCGATTAATATCGTCTGATAACCAGCAAATCAAACTTTTTTCATTAAAGAAGACTAATTAGGTTTACAATCAAAATAGATATGACTGTGTTTGATAAGCATATAAGCTTATAAGCTTTCTGTATTCAAATAAACTTTGTTTGGTAAGACGAACTTTTTTAAAAACCTCGACCTTATCTCAAAAGCTTCATTAAGTAACTTTCCAAATAAACCTATTGAAATTTTTATTTGAACTAATTTATTAGTTAATTTAATAAGCTGACTTTTCAGCCATACGTCATAAGCTATCAACTATAAGCTCGAAATTCACTTAAAAGCTATAAGCTAGTTTATCACCTAGGTTTACCAAACATAGCCTATTAGGAACAAGAAGCTTGTGCTAATACTCTGTTTTGCAGAATGCAATTCACCAAAATAAATAAAAACTACGCGTTTGGTTGGTGTGATTGATTACTTCTGCGGGTGTGATAAGGCCTTTTTTCTCAGCATCTGTGATCATTGCATATGCCGGTCTGTGGACGAAGTAAATACACAAAAAATGTGATGTAAAACGAATTTTAAACATAGACATATGCCTGAAATTATGAATGTATCTTGAACATAAAGTTGTCTAAAAATTTAGAATCGATGAATCAAAAAACGAAGAAAATTGAAAAATGCAATACCTGTCTTTGATGCTGGAAGTAGGCTGCATCATCTCTTGCTTCACGGCTACATAAGCGCCACAATCCTCGGTTACTTTGTTGAGATAGACAAGAGGTGTTCTACCAATAAGCTGCATCAATAATCAACAATCACATATGAATAAAATAACAACAGTGTTTTTTGAGTTATTAATTTAATATCCTTTTCTTTTGAGTGTGTGTGCGCTTAAGTGTCAAGGGGTGTAGACTGTAGACAAGCCGAGCCGAGCTCGAGCTCATGGTACACGCCAGTAATCGAGCTCGGCTTATTTGTCGCGAGTGGAGCTCGAGCCGAACTCAAACCAAAACGAGCCGAGCCAAACTGAGCAGAACAAGTTATCAACGAGCTCCAACTCGGCTCATTTATTAGCCGAGCCAGAGCGGCTCGTTTCGTTTAACAGCCCTTTGAGTAAATTTTACTTTGTATCAATCTTGTAAAAGGGGAAAATTCAAGATTCTTGAAAAACCTCAAACACACAGCAAACTCAAACAGACATAAAAAAAAATGTAGTGTGCAGAGAATCAAGATTCAATTTCAGACAATTTCATAAAAAAATAAAAGAAAAATAACAGATAAGAAAAGGCAACAACAATTCATATAAACACACATAATTGTGTGTGATTATGACTTATTATGATCTTCATTCTTTACCTGAGAAACATGTTTCTTGATTCTGGTCCCAGGAAGTTCTTTAGGCAGATCCCTTAACCTCTGAGCAAGTGAAGAGTCCAATACATGGCGGCTGCTGCTGCTACTTGACAACAATTTGTCCTTAAAATGTTGTAAAAGATTTGATCTTTTCTTGATGAGATTGCTTGTGAGAGCTGCCATTGATGAAGGGAAGCTCTTTTTTTTTTTTTTTTTTTTTTTTTTTTTTTTTTGGGTAAGAATTATGTTGCAAAAGAGTTTTGTTTTTTTTGTGTGTGTCTGTTGTATATGTGGAAGATGATATTTTATATTTATAAGGGAGCTGAAAAAAAATAAAAATCTAATTTTTACTTGCTAAAACAGGGAAATGGAAGAGAAAAAAGAGAATCTTTCTTTTTGATTACTTTTAATAATTTATCATCAGCAAATATATGTTTTAATTGTTCTGGTTGGGATGTCCAAACAGTGAAAGTATTGTCAAGGCAAACTTGAACTTTTCCTTCTGTTTTTCCATTAATATTTTAGTCTGTTGGGAGATTTTTTTTTTTTTCAAAGAAGGGAGGCTGAAAGTCTAGGATAAGTTAGAGACGAGAACTCGTCGGAGATGAGATACCCCGATAATATCATGGTCAAGCCAAGTAACTACTCCGGTGGGGAGCGACGATACTCGTTGCAAACCTAACGAAGAAGAGAACGCCAAATTCGCCATAATGTCGGCCGCAAAGTTAACTTCCCTATGCATGTATTGGACCCGCACACTTCACTCCCTCTAATCAAGGAACTGCTCAATTGAGTTGCTGAAATAAACTCAAAACTTAGGACTCAAGATCGTGAACAATATGTTGGACTAGAGGTTGACTCGAGTTTAAATTCAAAATACATCCGAACTCAGCCAAATCTAATCTCAAGTTGAGCATTGACACGAGGGGCTCATAAATAGGTGGATTCGTTTGCAGACATTAATAATTAATGGGAGTTGCTGAAAACAAGGTTTAAGTACCAAAACTGCAATTTCTGCCTTTTTCATGGGCTACCAAGCAAAAAGGCAAATTTTCACTTACAATTTATCACAAGTGGACAAAACTGGAAAATTCCTCCATCGTTCAGTGTACTTGAAAGGGCATTTTTAAGTTCTATGTACCAAATTCTGGCCTCAATGCATCTAGCAAGAGATCAAAATATGGTCTAATGTCCAATTAATCAGTGCACAAAATCTAATTTAGTTCATCAATGCACGTAGAGTGTGTTATGCAGGGATGAGTGTTCGAGTTCGTGTTCCAAAATTATATTTATCTTCATATTTCACTATGTTGGATAATCGATACGTGTCCATTGTGACATTACAATTATAAACGTGTCAGATATCTAAAAAAATAATGGTTACGAATAAAAAACCTTTTGCCGTTGTACAAGGTGGGGGATTTGATCATATTCCGATTTTAAATTTCATTTCATGTGTTCATTAAATTAGTTGCATGACACGTGTCTATGATGATGTCATATTTGTATATGTGTCATACGCACATCGATACAATTAAAAAATGGATTTTGGGATGGTGATTGGATAAAAACTGTGATTGAATTTTTGCAATCACAACTGAAATTTTAAATAATATATGTGATTCTACAAGAGTTTAGTTTAATTCTCGTACCTCAATACTTCTCAACATTATCAATGTAATTAAATAGTATAAATAAACCATCCTAGCGTGATATCAACTTTAATTCACTATTTATCTACTCACATAATTTTAAATACTCATCCATTCCAATCACCTATCTTCTACTCTTACATAAAATTAACTTTAATCGTGTTTATTTTAAGTATTATTAATACAAAATCAAAATCTCATTCAAACATAACTCAACAAACTCTTTACAAAAAAAACTATATCCAACAAAAAAGTAAAGCCAATCAAAACCAAAATTCAATCAAACACTTATATCCAATCACACATGACCTCTTTATTTATTTTTAATATTTTTAAAAATTTACTTATAATAAACAAACTCATTATGGTATAATAAGCATTAGGCGCATTAATTTTTGGCTATATTTTCATAAGAGAGTCTCACAACTAACAATATTAAACGAACCTAGCTGAGTCAAAATCGAGTTGAGTCTTATGCTCGTTTTCAAACGAGCACGATATGGAACACGAAGAGTTCGACTTGGCTTGACTTGACTCGAACACAGCATATTGTGAGCGGAAGCACCTGTAACGCTCCCCATTACGGGCCTGGAGATATGGGTCTTTTATGGGCTAACTGACGTGGGCTAAATAAAGGAGGACTCCCCCCATCAAGGTTACAATTCGAGGATAGACAAAGGGAGAAGGGAAGCAATATTTTTTAATCACAATTTATACTTAATTTATATTTTCTATCAGTCTTTTTTTTTTTTTTTTTTTTTTACAATAAAGGAGGTCAAAGCCTAAACACCGCTAAACCACTATCTGATGTTGATAAAAAACTCAAGCAAGATCATACTGCAATCAAAAACCCGTCCCAAACAGAGGACGATCAAATATATGCAAGGCCCCGGACCTTTCGCCGCCAATCTTTCAAAAATACTACAGCTGAAATCCCGATTTACGGATTGAAATAAGATAATAATTACAAATTCACCCTAAAATCCATTTTTTTTTTTATACATTCAGAATTTTTTATAACTAAATTCATAATATTTAAATTTATATATAAATAAAAATATAAACACGATAAATTGATAATTATGCGATCAAAAGCCACGAAAATAGCAAAATCTGGCAGCATTCGACACTTGTCGGTCATCAGGTATCATCATCTCTCATGCTTGCCGCAGATCGACGGCCCACAACACTTGTCCCTGTGACAAGCACCAAAGCTTCTTTAAAACCCCATTTTCCTTCTTCATTATTATTATTATTATAAACTTCAATCCCTTTCTCATTCTGTTTCTTCATATCTCACGCCACCTTCACCTTGCAATCCCACGCCCATCGCTGTAAGCAAATCTACTGTTTAATCAGCGCATGTAATCGTTTTTGTTTTTCCGGTGATTAATTGATTAGCCGAAGATGAATTTCGCGTTGTCGATCAGATAAATTTCAACTACTTTGTTTCTGAATTTGTTGAAGCATGTGTGTGTGTGTATATATATATATATATATATATATATATATACGGCCCGTGTAATATCTATGATCTTATGTGGCTAAGCATACTAGAGTTTCATTCATTTGAAGTGTTGCTTTTAGGTGATGTTGATTTTTGTTCTAATGGTGATTGTATGCTTATGATCGGGCTTGATTTTAGTTTAATATTGATTTGGATGTATGGATTGTTGGACATGTGTTGAAGAAAACGCAGTTAATTACTTTATTTTGCTTTTCCATGTTGATTTTTTGTGTTTTTCGTGGAATTTATGCCTCTCTGAGTACCAAGTCTATGATTAGAAGCAGTGAATTGAGTATTTGGTGCTGGTGGTGTCCTTTTGTATTGGTACTAAACACATACTCGTTAGTTTTCGTGATATTAACGAGCAATTGCACGCCTGTAGTTGTGCGTACAACATGATAACTAGCGGGGATGAGGAATGTGTATATAGATACAAGCACGTTTTTCTATTGTTCGCTAATTATTAGGTGTGTGGAGTTCTCCTTTAAATTTTCACGTGCCGAATATTAATTATGAGACACATACTTAGTAGGTTTTGTGATATTAACGAGCAATTGCACGCCTGTAGTTGTGCATACAACATGATAACTAGCGGGGATGAGGAATATGTATATAGATACAAGCACGCTTTCTCTTGTTCGCTAATTATTAGGTGTGTGGAGTCCTCTCTTAAATTTTCACTTGCCGAATATTGATTATGAGCATACCTGCAGTTTCCATACACTAAAGAATCTATATATGTATGCTGTGGTTACGTATTCTACCGTTTCATACATAGTTTGTTCATGTTTTTTTTTTTTTTTTTTCCTGATTTTACTAGTTTTGAAACTTCAAGTATTTAAATCGTTTGAGGTGAATTTGAATGATTATTCTTGAATGTTTCTGACATATTTATGACTCAACTTTTATGTTGGCAGATGTCAGAGAATAATGGGGAATCGGAGATCGGTCATAAAGGAAAGGAATGGGAAGTTGTCACACTCACTGAATCCATATATGCTGCTGCCCCTGCTTCCAAGCAGGACATCCTTCATAATTTTCAAACTGATTTAATCAGCGGTGTGAGTCCCGAGACTGCTCATGCAATGATTATGTCCGGTCACTTTGGATATTCATCGACTATGCACGAGAACTCTCTCCCAGAACCCAATCTAGAGGAAGGCAGTAAACCGGAATCCAAGCATGAAGAAAATTTCAATTTGAAAGACCCAATTGCTGATGAATATGGTGAGTTTAGAAAATATGATGATGAAAAAGGCGATATCATGTCGTTATATAGTGCTGGGAAGTTTGATCCTTATGATGATGATGAAGCCAATGCTGATGCCCACGAACCAATTGAATCTGTTGACCCTGCTATGAATCCAGACATGTCGAACTTTGATGAAGATAAAACTAGTGAACTGTCTAATATTCCCTGCGAGGCTTGGTGGAGAAAGTATGCTGATACATTGTGTGATAGTGCAAAGAGTGTGAATCCATATTGGTCAATTGCTATTGCTGCTGCTCTTGTGGGAATCGTGATTATCGGTAACAGGTGGCAGCGGGATAACAGGCCTCAGGTCTTTCAATTTAAGTCATTGCTGGCTGTCGATAATGAGGTACTTCGAGTATTTTAATGATGCGAGTAGTGTTTGTGAATGACAACTTATGCTTCCATTTGCAAAATCTTTTAATTAGTAGCGTTTGATGCAAACATTATGTGATTTTTTGCTACATTTTTTTGTATGTTTCTCACATTTTTTTTTTTTTGACTGATTTGGAAATATGGTTCTGTTAATGGCAAAAATGGCACTTGGCATTCTCCATTTCCACCATGTACTTCTTTATACGGTTGTGATGTGAAAAACATATATTTTTTGTTGTTGCAGGGGACATGTGGTTGGATTATTGGTCCTATGGCAACACATAAAGGCGCCTCTCTGAGTGCTCGACACATTTCATACATGTGAATGAGCTGCTCGATTGGACTTTGATGTTGGTGGAAAGGAAATAAGTGCGCCATATTCAGATTTTTTTTTTCTCTTGCGTGTTATTCTAGGTTTGGTTGGCGTGCGAGTTTTTCATATTATCTCGATGAATATTGTGGCATTCGTGCTCTTTTCTCGATCTTAATGTGTCATGTGTGGTCTTTTAGGGGAAATTGCTTGATGTAAATAAACACTAAAAAAGTAGATATTCGGAGTGTGGTGGTTCTTGTATATAAGTAGATGGATGTTATGGCAGTGTGAGAAACACGTTTTATATGGTTATGTAAGATTTGCAGGGTTTGCTGTATAAAATCTCCAGCAGAAGTTCATATTTTGTTTTTCTGATGTTGGCCTTATTTCCCAACATCAACACATTGGATCGTCTTGAGTAATCCAGCTTGAAAGCAACTTTATGAGACTCCTTACACTACCAGGAAGGACTAGATGAACACAGAGGATGAAGTTAGGAGAGCACACTGTTAGTAAAGTCTTTAGATCGAAAGCAAATTCAAGCAGGTCAATTACTGAACTTCGCTTCGCCACAGGCTAGGGATCTTCCGGCTCTCACTCTCAGGTAAATATGGCAAGGCTGGATACCTGGGGTCCTGTAGCTTGACAGGCGCGTGAGATATCCAGCATCTGCTGTTCGTACAGCAGTATCCACAGCATCTGCTGTTCGTACAGCAGTATCCACAACCCCCTTACGGGGGATTGTAGAATGGTGCATACGATGAGGGAGGGGAATTTTTGCGCGGATACCCTATTCTCTCGCCCGTCATATGCTATGGATGGTCACACGAGTGTCTCGCTTTGCTCTCCTCAATTGAAAGCCCTTGGTCCGCTTCAGCTGCCTGACTTCATGAAGAGTACGAAGTTATGCCCATTAGAGATTAGGATGAATCTGATCGATAACGTTCAATCCCCACATAGCGAAGGAAATCTTAAATATTTTTAGATAGTCAAATTTTCTTTTCTGTTTTGGATTCACACCCTTTACAATTCTATCAATTATTCTATTCTTGACTCTGAGGAATCATTGAGATTTTTTCGTTTTTCTGATGTTGGCCTTATTTCCCAACATCAACACATTGGATCGTCTTTTGTGGGTAAATTTGATTTGTATTGGATTTTTTAACGTTGGATTAAACATCGACATGGCATCCAAATCAATACTTGTTGAAGTTTGTAGGTCAAATTTCTGAAGTGATCGAAATAGAAAAAAGTAATTAATTGAAGAATTTATAACAAATAAGCTTACTATATTTGTTGATTATTTAAATAACATCAATATATTTTTTTTATTAATATAATATGGTTTACTTGAAGTATATAGAAAGTTGGTTCTATTATGGAGCCAACTGTTGGCTTCATAACAAAACCATACATCATGATTGGCCCAGAAACAAATCGTTGCCCCTGACTCACTCTTCGGCCTGCTATTATAAGAATTCCGATATTGTTATAAAATACGAGGAATATAAAGAACACAATGTATAAAAATCGGAACAATTATAATCTGCTTTCTTTCTTCACTTTTCCGTGCAAATATTACAATGCTATTGGCCTCCTTTTGTAGGCAAACTTCAAGGCACAATAATACACTTGCACACACTTCAATACACATTTGAATATAATAATGAAAAAGATAATATTAATATTGGTAAATTCCACATATCTATAATACTCCCCCTTGGAATTACCAATATTAAATGTGCGTTTATGCTGCCTCGTTAAAAACCTTATCTGGAAAACCCTGTGGGAAAAAACCGAGATAAGGAAAAAAGAGTACAGCCGCACATACTCCCCCTCGAATTATCATCCGTGCAAATCCCGAAGATGTCTCATTCCAATATTGTGCACGTGCTTTCGAAATACTGTCGTCGGAAGTGCCTTCGTAAACAAATTTGCTGCATTATCGCTTGATCGAATGTATTGAACTTTGATTTGTTTGTTTCTTTCAA